GGAGAAACGACAAACTGGGAAACACCCCAAAGTCCTTTGGGACCACTAAACAACACTTGTACACTTGCAATCGATCTAAACTCATTTGAACACCTGCAAAACCTTGAAATCCATAAAAATAATTGTCATTCTATTTTTTAAGTAAGTTTATGATATGTTTAATACATTGTAATTACATAAACACAAATATAAAAAAGAACATAACACTTAATTGACTAGTATTTAATCTAATTATGGATATCTGACGAAAATAAAATCAGTTTTACATCTAAGTAGTTAATAAAAAGCTGTTAATAATAATTAGCTGTTAATAAAAATAAATGAATTAATTACGCATCAAGAACATGATTTAAATAAGCAATATAGCAAATAGCCAAGCGTAAAATCTCAATTTTTGATAGTTTCTTGTCTGGTGGCAGCGTAGGGAGCAGTTTTCGAAGCTCAGCGAAAGATACATTGAAAGCTTCGACTCTAATACGTTCCCTCGTCGCATGTGCGGTACGATACTTTTGCGTGGCTCTGCGACGACGACGACGTTCTTCGCGAGTTAAAGTTCCCATTTCGTTTCTTTCTCTATAAGAAACAAACATCATTTTGTGAAAATATAAGTTTTGTTTGCGAGTTCCGCCTAGTTTGGTAATAGTTTTAGTTTTGTTTGAAAAAGATCAATTTTTATTGATTATTTCATCAGATGATAATATGTGTGTCTATTTCATGTTCCATTTTTTTCTTATTATAGCCAATAAATTTGCCTACTTTGAAAACCAGTGACAGTTACAGCCTCGTACCGCGTCGAAGTCGGCTATAAAATTTGGTCCTTATTCTATACGTAAACGCACTTTGCAGATATGTGCCAACAGAATATCATAAATTTCCACGCAATTTTAGTAAAATTATGTTAAATTAACTAAACATTTAGTGTAAGTTTAGTGTGCTATTTGATACTTAATCAACTTACAATTGCTTACCTTTTTTTGGTTGTAGAAGAAACTAAATTATTGCATGACGTGATGGTTTGTAAAACTTCTCTGTTGATTTCACCGGTGCCATTCATCTTCATAGCGTAAAGTTTTAAGCATCGAAAAGACTGAAAAAACGAATACAACATTAATAGAAATGTGATTTTAAGTGCTGGTAAACGAATAAATCAGTACGAAGGGAGACTTTCTTGATATGATCGAAAATATGGTAGAATTATTCACACCGATGCATAGCTATAGAAATGAAAAATGCATAAGCACTTTGCAGTAAATTTAGTTTGATGTTTTATTAGAAAAATCAAAAATGACAACGGCAAATACGGTGAATAAAATATAGTAGTAACATATAATATATAATTTGTAAAACTTGATCGTG